GGGAACTGTCCAGCTGAAGTACGCATCCTACTGAGCTAGGAGTCCGATGACATCTAGCAGGTCAAGTGGAGTGAAGAAAGCAAAAGTTTGACTTTCAGTCAGCTTCTGGGTGATTCTGGAAAACCATCAGATGAGGAGGACAGAGAAGCAGTTTCCTGCCCACCTCGATGCAGAGGGATGTCTGGGATGGAAGGAAAGGCTTCTCCATCCTACAGAAACAATGGACACATTTCCAGGACCATCAATTCTGCTGCATTACCTGGAAGCTGGGAGTCATGGTCTTGAACTGGCAAACGTTTAAGCAGGGTGCTCCAAAGACTGTTTACCAACTTTAAGAGAATCACACTCCTCGGCCTTCCTTGGACACTCTAGTGTACTGAAGAGGCCATACATTGGTCCAACCTTGGATTCAGGAGAAACCCTCCAGTGTTTGTCCTTGTTGTAGAACACTAGACCAGCTCTTTATTGTTTTGGGGCTATTTAAGGGTGCATGGTTCGCCAAACCAGTGTACATTCTTTTGTGGACTTGCAGAAGGCATTCAACAATCCCTGTGTATACCACTGGATGCATGTTACATACTCCCAAAGGTTAGGGTATCCAAACCCTAACCTTTGGGAGTATGGGGTATCTGGCCTGTTTTTAGCAGGCTATTGCATCTCTGTATATTCCTAGCAAGAACTTGGTTCACAATACCAGCAATAAGTTGGGCTTGTTCCCAGTCGGTGTTGGACTCCAACCCTCCCGTTCTGATCACAGTTTTTATGGGGAGAATTTCTCGGTGCCTCCTAAGTGAGGTGTTTCAGGTATACCCAACTGTGACGATGCCCTCTCTTGGCTTTTCTATTGGCTGGCTTGGGAACCTTCCTGTGTCCTCCCAGAAAAGCTGGTCTGGCAACTCTGCTTGGGTTGCTGCTTCCATACCCTGGACTCAGATAAGCAGCAGAAACTGGATGGATGGTGAATCCGTAAAAATAGCTCTGCAGTGAGCTGCCATTAACTGCCACTAGGCTGTACAAAACAGGAAATGCCAGTGTACTGTGACGGATCATTAAAACAAGTGTTTTTCATGCTGCCTCTATTGCAACTGCACAGGCTCAGTTCTATCAACAGATTAGAACAGACAACGCAGGAGTTGTGCCACAAAGGAACAGAAACAGAAACACCTCACTCTGCTCTCTTGGAATAATCCCATACTAAACATGTAGCTGCTGTCAGCAGGAGAAACACATATTACTTATGTAAATCCTTAGTGCCAAAAAAGGTACGAGCTGTTACATAACAAACGTAGCCTGAACTATCACCTCACTGATGATGGAACCTCCCAACATCCCACCAACACATGGCCTCATTCACTCCATCATCGCTCACTCTACCTGTTTGTTTGTGTTAGCACTGCCCTCCTACAAACCTGTGAGTCTGTGCAGACGCTTCCACAGGAGGAATACACCATTACAGTTTCACAATATGTCAGCTTCAGTCACAATCGTCCACATGAGTAAACCAGGTTGGATGTTGAACTACTTAATTGTGGATTTGGTTAAAGGCTGCTATTTAACTGTCAGCTTTGGATAAGGTTTCATCTGATATGTGCACTAAGTGACGGTGACAAATTATGTCAATGTCGTCTGTATATTAAAGTGTTTCACATAAAAATATAAACACAGTTCTACAATCTGACACCACATTGAAATATTTCTATGAAACTCTGAAAAAAAATAAAAAGTTTTGACTTAACTATCAAAAACACATTTTAGTTTCTGTCAGTGATCGGAGGGATAACGTTAACGCCGGCCCAGATTTCCTTGTCCCACTCACCTGACGCTCAGCTGGATTTAATCAGCAGCTTCTTCAGCTAACATTAAGCTGACAGGTGACAGGTGTTGACTGTGCTGGCAAACTGGTAGCCTGTAAGCTGTCTAAAGGGGCAAAGGCTCCACATTTCCTACCATCTGAAATCTAAAAATTCTTCAATGATGAGGAAAAGGAAAAAACAACAACACACTTCTTCTTTTCCTAACTGAATCGCGTCACAGTCCCACAGATTTTTCTTCCCGTCAGCCAAGATGTTCCAACCCCAGTCAGTAGTAACCACAACACTAGACTCTTTGTTTCAGAGTTAAACAGCTGCCTGTTTCCAGTTATCTGCTCACGGTGGATCAGAATAGCATTTGTTTATATGTAAGGAACACGCTGCTGGCTTTAAGAAACAACAAGGTCATTGTGAGCAGCATAATCCTTCATACTGTACCTTGACGTTGTCTGGATGCAGTCCTCCAGGGTGTTTGTCCATGTACTGACACAGGTCTGTGTGCTGCATGAGGACAAAAGGCAAGAACATCCCAGTGTTAGTGTGAAGGTTTTAAAGGTAAGTAAGCAAGCAATTTATTTATATAGCACGTAAGATTCCTTAAAGATCATCTAAAGTGGTTACCACCAAGTACACCTTAGCATATGCAAATGCTTTGGAGCAAAAACAGCTCTAGAAATTGGGACCAACTAGATGTTACTGTGATGTTATTGTACAAAGCAGTATAAAGGAACGTTAAATGCTAGAAGTTAGGTGGTCTAACACAGCGGTC